GATTTGTCAGTTAAAAGCAGTAGGGGAGTTAGTAGATGGAGAAGTGGAAGTTTTGGGTAGATGGCGAGAATATTTTGAGGAACTTTTAAATGTTGACGAAGAAAGGGAAGCAGTAATTTCATGCACTGGCCAGGGAGGTATACCATCTTTAAGGAGTGATGAACAGGATGTGAGTGTGGGGGGGAGGTACGCGAGGCATTATGTAGAATGAAAGGGGGTAAAGCAGCTGGAACTGACGAGATCATGACAGAAATGTTAAAAGCAGGGAGGGGGGGGGGATATAGTGTTGGAGTGGTTGGTATTTTTGTTTAATAAAGGTATGAAAGAGGGGAAGGTACCTAGGGATTCGCAGAGAGCATGTATAGTCCCTTTATATAAAGGGAAGGGGGTTAAGAGATTGTAAAAATAATAGAGGAACAAGTTTACTGAGTATACCATGAAAAGTGTATGGTAGGGTTATAATTGAAAGAATTAGAGGTAAGAGAAAGTAGGATTGCAGATGAGCAAGGAGGTTTCAGAGTGGGTAGGTGATGTGTAGATCAAGTGTTTACATTGAAGCATATATGTGAACAGTATTTAGATAAAGGTAGGGAAGTTTTTATTGCATTTATGGATTTAGAAAAGGCATATGATAGAGTGGATAGAGGAGCAATGTGGCAAATGTTGCAAGTATATGGAATAGGTGTTAAGTTACTAAATGCTGTAGAGTTTTTATGAGAATAGTGAGGCTCAGGTTAGGGTGTGTAGAAGAGAGGGAGAATACTTCCCAGTAAAAGTAGGTTTTAGACAGGGATGTGCAATGTCACCATGGTGGTTTAATATATTTATAGATGGGGTTGTAAAAGTAAATGCTAGGGTGTTCGGGAGAGCGATGGGATTAAATTATGGGGAATCAAATACAAAATGGGAAGTGACAGTTGCTTTTTGCTGATGATACTGTGCTTATGGGAGATTCTAAAGAAAAATTGCAAAGGTTAGTGGATGAGTTTGGGAGTTTGTAAAGGTAGAAAGTTGAAAGTAAACATAGAAAAAAGAGTAAGGTGATGAGGGTATCAAATGATTTAGAGAAAGAAAAATTGGATATCAAATTGGGGAGGAGTATGGAAGAAGTGAATGTTTTCGGATACTTGGGAGTTGACGTGTCAGTGGATGGATTTATGAAGGATGAAGTTAATCATGTAATTGTTTTACATGATGGTAGGATTGCTGGTGTCTTTTGTCTGTCTCATAAATATGCAAGATTATAGGTACGTCTTGCTACTTCTACTTACACTTAGGTCACACTACACATACATGTACAAGCATATATATACACACCCCTCTAGGTTTTCTTCTATTTTCTTTCTAATTCTTGCTCTTGTTTATTTCCTCTTATCTCCATGGGGAAGTGGAACAGAATTCTTCCTCTGTAAGCTATGCGTGTCGTAAGAGGCGACTAAAATGCCGGGAGCAAGGGGCTAGTAACCCCTTCTCCTGTATATATTACTAAATTTAAAATGAGAAACTTTAGTTTTTTCTTTTGGGCCACCCCACCTCAGTGGGATATGGCTGGTACGTTGAAAGGTGGTGGTTAATCATAGAACTGATGAGGGAAGAAAGGCGAGTAGACAAGTCTGCGAAAAGATCAGGGAATGAGACACTGCTGGTGTACGAAAAAAAAGATGCACATAGAAATACAGTGGACCCCCGCATAACGATCACCTCCGAATGCGACCAATTATGTAAGTGAGTTTGTACGTGTATGTTTGGGGGTCTGAAATGGACTAATCTACTTCACAATATTCCTTATGGGAACAAATTCGGTCAGTACTGGCACCTGAACATACTTCTTGAGTGAAAAAATATCGTTAACCGGGGGTCCACTGTAAATGGATAATTTGGTATATGACAAATACTGGAGGATACAAGGCTGAAAGAATACAAAAAAAAAAAAAATGAATGAATTACTTCACACGGAGTGACTAACTGGTACACTACAGAATAATACTTACTAAAGACATGGAGTAGCATAAAAAAACACAGAAAAAAAAAATATATGAGATGAGCGATAACACTGAAAAATATTGCAAAAATAATGAGTCAAAGAAACACTGAGTCTACACTGAAAACACAAGGTTTAGAGTACACAAGAAATTCACTATAAATGTCTCACACACGCAAATGTCTTTAAATGCAAGAAAAATGTCTCTAAACAGAAAATTATCACTGGAGTCTGGAGTAGTAGACGGGATGACTAGTGATGAGGGGAAGGTTGTCCTGCGCGGTGATAACGCCTCCTACACTCACACTGTCGTCGGAAGAAATGCGCTTTCTAGGTGAACTCGCATAACTGGCTTTATCGTTGGCACTCGGCTACAATCTCTTGACCAATTATGTGAGCCAAAACAGTTCTAGGACCCGGTACAAGGGTGGAAAAAGAACCACAGGTAGATGAGTAGAGTGGGCGAGTGTGGCGGGTGGTGGTGGGAGCGTGACTCACTCACTGGCGCTCACTCTTACCACTCACGAAGGTGGCTTGTAAGCCACTATGCCACAGGGATGGTGAAGACCACTCTTAGCATCATCCAACTGGCAATATATGAGACAATACTTCAGAGGAACTTGCGTGGCTTACTTCTCTCTCTCAGCTGGGTTAGAAGCTGGGCTGGCTGACTGGCTTAACCCACGAGAATGGCTGACTGGAAGACGTGTAACGATGCACACAGCATGAAGGAGCAGGTGGATGACAGGAGACAGGCTGGATGGTAGGCTGAGGCAGGCTGACTAGCGTTCACTTCCACAGTCTGGCTTACTGACTGGCTCAATTGCAAAATCCGGGTCAACCCCTCGGAGATTGAAGCAATTAGCACACGAACTAAGCCAGGAACCTTGAAAAACGGCTGCAACAGGCTTGCAGGCTGGAGTACAGGGTGGAGAAGAGTGAGGGTAGCGGCTGGAGGTGGCACAGTTCACCTTTGACCTGCCGGCTCCCCACAAACACTCTTCTAACATCTTGAAATACCCTTAAATCCACGCCCACACCGGTGCCACCATTTATCAAGTGGGTTTTCGAAACGTGGAAGGGGTAAGAATACTCACGTAGGCTGGTAGTACGTATAATATATAACGGGAAGTATGGGAATGCACCAACAGCCGACCTGTCTCTCTGCTGGCTAACTACAACTGACCCATAGTGCCTACGGGTGAGGGTGTTTGAAATCCTGCTATGGTCAGCAGCAATATGAATACAGTCAATGATTCACACAGACGGTTGGTAGTGAGTCATCTACTGGTACACTGGTTACTGGTAACTGGTTACTAGGAACTGGTACTACTACTGAGAAGACTGCCATCTTCCCCCACCAACAAAGTGGGACCCAAAGAAAACATTCACCATGAATAAACAATTATCTGGGCTGCTCTCTGATCTGGGCTCAAACATGTTAGACACTGAAATGAGGTCCTATAGCTTGCACATGAGACTCATGAAATGCACTTACTTATGACATCATAAGCTTGGTTTAGGAAACAAAGGCAAGACATTTGGATTGCTCTTAATTTTTGATATTAATGTTAAGGAAATAGTTTACGTCTGGAGCATAACATAATAAAAGTATTAGTCAGAGGGCTGAAGAGGGGTTGTTGAGGTAGTTTGGTCATTTAGAGAGAATGAATCTAAGTAGAATATGGAGAGCAATTAAATCTGTAGGGGAAGGAAGGCGGGGTAGGGGGTTGTCCTCGAAAAGGTTGGAAGGAAGGGGTAAGGAAGGTTTTGTGGGCGAGGGGCTTGGACTTCCAGCAGGCGTGCGTGAGCGTGTTCGATAGGAGTGAATGGAGACGAATGGTATTTGGGATATTGGCAGTTTGGAGGGATATGTTGTGTATCTTTATATGTGTATGCTTCTAGACTGTTGTATTCTGAGCACCTCTGCAAAAACAGTGATAATGTACGAGTGTGGTGAAAGTGTTGAATGATGATGAAAGTATTTTCTTTTTGGGGATTTTCTTTCTTTTTTGGGTCACCCTGCCTCGGTGGGAGACGGCCAACTTGTTGAAAAAAAAAAAAAAAAAAAATTCAGGGAAACCTGTTATTATTATATAGCTGGACTCGAGTCCTGGAAATGGAAAGTACAATGCCTGCACTCTAAAGGAGGGGTTCAGGATATTGACAGTTTGGAGAGATACGTTGTGTAACTTTATACATATATGCTTCTAAGCTGTTGTGTTCTGAGCACCTCTGCAAAAACAGTGATTATGTGAGAGTGAGGTGAAAGTTGAATGATGAAAGTATTTTCTTTTTGGGGATTTTCTTTCTTTTTGGGTCACCCTGCCTCAGCGGGAGACGGTCGACTTGTTAAAAAAAAAAAATCAGATCAGTGGAGTTAAGAGGAAGACCATGATCACAAACAAAAATGGAGTTTATACAGAAATTTAACAGCTAACAATTAACTAAAATGTCAACTTTTGTACCACATGAGGAAAAGGATAATTGGGTGGGATAAGGTAGCCAACACCTTGCATTACTGTTTGCTACACCACTTGCTGACTCATCACATGCTAGAAATGTCATGTACCTAAATCTTGCAAAATAAATTCACAGGCTTGCTAAGCTAATACAGTAAAACCGATGTGTGTAGTCTTTAGCATTCCTCATTTATCATAGCTAAAGGATTTAAATTAATCCCTGAATCTTTGGTTCTGCCCATTTTACATTTACTCTGGCTCCAGACTATCAGAATAAAATATAGATCACATTCAAGTACATGCAATACAACATTTGTGACAGTATTTATGTTAATGCTAAACCCGAGCATAATTGGCCGAAGTGAGGAGCAGTACAATCAACAAACCTGCGAGTCATTAGAATTTTCTTTCTGCTTTGATGTAAACAATAAAAAAATGTACAAGTATTTACCAAGAAAGCAACCCTACTGTTAACACAGCTAGACTGCAATAACTTACCAGAAGCCGAGAGAAATAATTATTTCAGACTAAACTTGAAAATCAAGTGGATACACTACCTGAGCAATGTAATTTGCAGACTGATGTTCATTAAACCGTTTATTAGGCTGTGAGCATAGGACTTTGTAGAGTTCACCATAGCGAGCATATTCAAGTATGAGATACACGCGCTTCTCACAATGAAAATATCCGTACATACGAAGAATATTTGGGTGGCTGAAAAAAAAAAATTTAACAATGCAAAATCTTATATCTTACCAGTTATCTTAGTATCAGATTTTCATTTTGACCAACTACATAGCCATAATGAGTATCAATAAATTTAAAGTTCAAAATAATGTATTCACTTTCCTCATCTTTAATTTGCATAAGACTGATTTGTATGTACCTAATTACGTGTAATTGAGCAAGACGCCCAACAGTGTGTAGTGAGACAAGATGGTGTCCACACTGGCTCAACTAATTCCTCTTACTTCTCCATACTGAGGATAAAGGAAGGCCACCCTTCTCACCCATGATATGACAAACTTAGTTAAAATAACCAACATCAGTTTAAAATCCAATTAATTTTCAACGTCAATACCCTTTCCTAAAATTTGCACGAGATCACTGCATGCCCCCCATTAACTATAAAAAACACAAAGTGAAAAGTGCAAGTCTTTGGAATAAATTTTAATGCTGTGCCCATCAGATCATGCCACAATCTACACAAGAGGTGAGCAGCAGCACCTTCAAGAAGATGGTTATAGGCAACAAGTGTGCGCTAAATTCACAACTGACAACCTACTTAACGTGACTATTTTTGACTGAGAAGACCAAACTTCCCACATCCTGCTGAACATTGTATAACTCTTACCTATAGGACCCACCAGAATCCCTACCTTGTTGAAAAATTATCACTTAAAAACACCTGCTTACAGTTTTTTTTTTTTCAACTCACTTTAGGTGTGACTGAATTTCTGCTTCTCTCCGAACCTGATGACTAATGCCAGCTTTCATTAAGACGGACTTGAACAGCACCTGTTGGAAAGACTTGCGTAGTGCTAATTCAACTGTAACCATTAGATGTATTAAATAACACAATACAATAAACCATTGATTTAACCCTTAAACGGTCCTAACGTATATATACGTTCATGCGCGTAGCTCCCCAAATGTTTATATACATTTTATTTTTCATTCGTTCAAAATTAGCGCGATAGGCCTGAGTCACCTAGACATGAGAGAATATGTGTGCGCACTCGGTGTGCGCAGTATACAAAAAAATCTGGGACGCCTGGGTACCACATGGTAGAACCAGTTACATTCAGCTCCATCCTGGGTCAACATCATGGCACATCCTCGTGATTCACTCACGCCTCGTCGTATTAACACTACTATTCGAGGAAAGTGATACAGATCTTGAGTTTAGTGGATTTGACACCAATGGGGCCAGTAATATTCAAGGAATTAGTGAAAATATCGACGGTAACCCAGATGACCCCCAGCCCATCACCTCTGGGGTAGCGACACCTGTCCTAGGGCCAAGCACCTCTGGGGTGGCCAGTGTGGCCATAGAAGACCCTGGGCCAAGCACCTCTGGAGTGGCAAGTGTTACCCATAGGCAACTTCGCAAGAGGAAACTATCATTTTCCCGGTGTTTTAGTGACAATGAAAGTGATGCAAGTGACGAGATTGATTTTATGCCAATTGAGGATTTGTCTAGTGATAGTGAAGTTCATTATTCACCAGTGAAACATACTTTTAGGCATCGTTATCTACGTTCAAGCCGTGCGCCATATGCAATCCCCAAGGGTCGTGGCAGGTCACGATCCAAAACCCCGGCCACTGATGGTGAAAGTGATCGCGAAGGGGACTATGCGGGGATGGAGGAAGTAGTGGTGGGTGGCATGGTGCCTGGACCACATGGCGCAGTGGGTGGACAGACATAAGACTGCCCAGCATCCCCGCAACCATGTGCTGCCTCCACCCCTGTCCCTCCTCCTGCCCCCATGCCAAAGGTCCACCCTGCACCATGTGATCTTGAGTGGAGCTGGACACAAAGTATATTCGTGCCACAGCCTTGTGATTTTGATGCAAGGGAAGTGG